GCTAGAGATGGGGATATTTGAAGTCATAAACGAATATCTCTGTCCCAACTGCACCTAATGCAGGTCTGCCCCCGGAACTGGCCCATCCACTCACGGGCTACTGCACTGCCAGCATCCCGCTCTTCCCATCAATTGTGGAAGTAGCTCTTCCATCTCCCAGTGGCTCAGCTGGCCACTCAACAGCCACACAGGGAGACTCACCCTCCCGACCCCTGCCTGGAATGGCCAGCCGAGAGGGAGACAGGGGAGCTACTTCCGCAATTGGTGGGAAGAGTGGGACATTGGCGGCACTTGAATAGACGAGCCCGTTCCAGGGGCCAGACCTGCATTAGCTGCAGCTGGGACGGGGATATTTGTATTCATTTATGACCATGAATATCTTTATCTCTAGTTGAAGCTATATCCAAATAAGCCACAAAATTCAACCACAGATTAATCCTCCCCTTCCTCATGGCACACAGAGGACTCATTCAGACAGGCATTTGTCCTGCTGCATATCGCAATGCAGGGGCTGATTGGCTAGGGTTTTTTTCCTGGAAATCACATGACATAATTGCTAGACCGAGCTAATTCACCCCAATTTGCCCCCAGGCCACCTCAATCTGTACCTGTTGGAGAGCCCCCGTCAAGGGTTTCCACTTTTTTGGTGTGCTCTAGTTTAGACCATTTCCAATGTGTGCAATTGCAGGAATGAACTAAAATGGAGTCTTGCCACTGTCAAAGCTTTCAAGACTCCTTCCAGTTTGAATTTCTGGTTAGACTCTGGTGTTCAGTGCTTCAGAGAGCTAACCTTGGGCTGAGTTTTATATCAAATTGCAGATGATGAATGACACCTGAAGGCCTAAAGAGCCAACCCTGAGCTTGAGTTGAAAGCTGTGCTGTTTATAAGAGACTCGCCTACTAGTTATATTTGGACATGGCAAAATATATCTCAGTTTAATAGACTTTTTCAAAATCTGTCTTTAGCCTGAGTGTCTGCTTAAGGTTTTCTGCAACTAGGCAGTCTTCTCTGTTTGAGCAGCTTCTGAAAGCTGTGAAGGTCTTGCGAGATTCTTTCCCATGGGAAAGAGCTTTTGAACTCTTTTATTTGATTTTAATTGCATTTTAATTGTTTTGTCTTTTTATTGTACAGTGGGGTCTTGACTTGAGAACTTAATCCGTATTGGAAGGCGGTTCTCAAGTCAAAAAGTTCGCAGGTCAAATCTGCATTTCCCATAGGAATGCATTGAAAACCATTTGATCCATATCTGCTCTTTTCCGTCCATAGAAACTAATGGGAAGCTGCTATTCTGCCTTCGACCACTAGAGGGGGATATTTTGTTTCTTTTTTTCTTAGGTCAAGAAAGGTTCAGGGAAGGCAGGGAAAAGACAGTCCAGGCAGTCCAGGACGAGGCAGTCTGAAGACTGTCTCCCAATCCACTCTCTAAACGCTGGGAGGAGTGAGGAAGCAGACAGGCACCCTTTTCACTGGCCAACAGTTAACTGAAAGTTCACTTTTTGCACTTTCCCTGCCTCCCACGTGGCTTTTTTTCAGTTCTTAACTCAAATCTAAGTATGTAAGTCAAGTCAATATTTTCCTATGAGAGTGGTTCTTAAGTCAAAATGTTCTTAACTCGAGCCGTTCTTAAGTCAAGACCCCACTGTATTTCGAATGTTGTAAGATGCCCAGAGACCTTTGGTTAGTGTGGGCGGCATATAAATTAATTAAATAAATAAATAAACGGCAACTTCTAGAGCTTAGACTTCTGACTGGTAAAGCCAGCTGGAGGATTCCGAAAGACATAAGGACAAGAGTAATTTTTTTGAGCTCTAACAAATTCCTAAATTGTTTTTATACTTGGGCTTGACTTCCTTTCACTGTGTCCTCTAGTTTTGGCTTCAGCTGATGGTTTTAAAAATGTAAATGTGGACCTATGAAAATCACACAAATCAAAATAAATGGATATGGCTTACCTTCTTCTTTCAGTGATGATTTCCTGGATTGTGCACTTCCTCAACCTGATGCTTTGTTACTGATTTGAGAGAGACCCTTGTTCACTGAGGATGAAGTGCTTTGTCCCTGCAGGCTATGCTGACGCTCAGTGAACTAGATCACATGTGATGACCAGTACTCATGAGCCAAGGGAAGCTTTCCCCATCCCTGGCCCCCCAAAGTATTGCTGTTCTATTTCTGGGAACTGCCAATGTCAATAAAGTGTCTCAAGCTGAACGAGGGGAGAGCTGAGTCCTTTTGGACAGCAAACTTCAGAAAACGGTGCAGTCTGTCTCAAATACTTGGCCTTTAGCATACCATCTCTTGTCCTGTGATGGTCAGACTTATCTTTGGAAAAAAGCCAAGTCTGAAGCAGCAGGCAGTCATCAATGTTGTTCAAGGTATGGGAAGACATGTTATCTTCAGCTTCCAAGCATGTTCTTTGGCTTCAGTTTTAGTTTAGGCATCCTTCAGTCTCGAGAGACTATGGCTTCAGTAGGTGAAGAAACTAAGAATAAACCCTTAGGACATAGTAGATCCAGCAAAGCTACTAAGCAGCTTTCTTTTGGAGGCACAAGTGAGGTCCCCACAGGGCGGGCAGTCGCCTCCAAGTATTCTCAGTAACCAACTGGGTGAAACTCTTCCTGCAGAACCTTCCTCCATCCTGACTCACTGGGCGGGACCCAAGGTGTTCTGGCCTGTCCTCAGCAAACATCACTATCATAGCGGGAATCTTAGTACTACAGGTAATGCAAAACATTCCTTTTCCTTCTTTTTTCACCCTTAGCCATTGCCCAAGGCTATGCCAACAAGCATTGTTTTTCAAACATTTGTATGTAACCAGTGAGGAAGATTATTTATAGCAAGCAGGTAACACCCATGTCTGTATGTCTGTTCTTCTTCAAGTCATCTCACTCTGCAGATGCACTTCTGAACTGCCTCTATGGTCTGTGATGGGCTAGCTGAGGGTAAACAAACTGAAATCTTATCAAGATCCAGCATGAGTTGAATGTGGAGAACTTGATTTCACTTGATTTCTTACTTGATCTATGCTATGTTAATTTTGTCACATTTCCCCATAAATTTTATATTTTTATTCTGGAGGAAAATTCATAGGCATCTTCATTCTCATTTTTTCTGATATACAATTTGCTACAAAATTTTCCCTAATATGGACATTTTTGTAAAAATGGTCTCCAATACAAGGCAAACTTAGTATGTAATTCTTATAAATATACTCATTCTTGTGCATAACTTTCCTATCAAATGGTTCAACTGTACTTTATAATCAATTTCTGCGTATTTTAGAAACTGAGTTGCATTGCAAAATTTCAAAATGTGAACACACTGGAATATAACTGTTCTGGCTTGTTTGTTGGTTTCAAATTTTGCAAGTCAGTCATGTTTGCATTAAAAATGATAAATGAATCAATTTCTCTGTCATTCCTGTTAAAGATAAATGCAATGGATTTTACAGCCTTTCCTAATTGGCAAGAAACTGAGAAAAAAACTCTACCCCTTCTCCTTCCAAGAATTTCTTTCCCTGCATATACTTTCCCTCCACAGCCCCCCAAATCTCAGGAAACCTTGTGGTATTTCTCAAATGTTTCATGGCCTCCCCCTCCCCTGAAAGAACATAAAGGAGTACACAGAATTAATACAATTCCTGTGTAAAATGGCGTTGTATTCTGTGCAAGATTCCCTAAGAAAGTTATTGAGTTGGGCAGAACTTGATAGCAATTCTGGATCACAAGAACAAATCACAAACAGACAGCAACAGCAAAAGAGATGAACGAGAAGGGCAATCTCATTTTTACAGGAAGCCAATGAAACTCACTGGTGCCGGGGAAAGGAAGCCTGGACATAGATGTTCACATAAAATAGGCAAGAATAAGAAAGGTTTTGAGTCTGCTCTGCATATCCCTGTTCAGGACTGCTATGGTGTCAGTCGGGAGACCTGTTAGTCTGCAGAAAGGATGTTAACCTGTTTTGCACAGGGTTACAATTCCACTGGACATTTGGGTTCCCAGTTTAGAGTTGTTCCTGGAGCTGGTGGCTTGGAGATGCCACTGGCTGCTAATCTGATAGTTATGCCTGCTTGGCTTCAAGTGGGGTGCACCAGTTGTGTCTGTCCCCGGCAAGGTCAGAGGCGGTTACAATCATGCCTGTATCAGTTTCATCCTGATTAAATTACTAGCGTATGCTCTACGTGGGACTGATCTTGATGACCAGCTGGAAATCTTTGCTGATTCAGAATACTATTCACTAAATTTTGGCAAGTTGTAAATTCGGAATAAGATGACCTTCATTATTGCCTCAGCTGCAATGGCTAATGGTGCATTTGCAAATGCAATTCAGGGTGCTGGTTCTCTTTATAAGGCTTAGCAAAAGCTTACCTCCCCTATGGCCCTCCCCATCCCCTACAATTGACCGTTGAACCCCTCATACTTGTGCCTTGGCCTTCTGAATTCAGTGATCGTGAGTGTAAAGACTCCCTCTTTGGTATCCCTGGGACTTTCTACATCAATAAGCTACATCACCTCCGTCTTTGCTTGTGTTCTGCTACCATTTCAAGCTTTTTTCTTTCCTTTCCTTTCCTTTCCTCCTCTCCCCTGCTCTCCGGTAATATTTTATTCATTGTTGGCTTCCTTGCCTTTAATCTATTTCCCAATGTTCTTTTTTTTTGCATTTATTTAAGAATTTAGTGATTGATTATTACAATTATTTTATTTTGTATGTTTTGTTGGCCACTTTGGGTGTTGCCTCTGAAGAAGAGTCAAAATGTACGTGAAAGGAAACATATATCTCCCATTACAACATTTCCTTCCAAGTACCCAATTCCTTCAAAATCCTGGTGTCTGATCAATAAGTCCATCTTGACCACTTAATGAGCAATCACAAAAAGGAAAGCAAGCTAAGTTGTAGCATATGAGGTGAGGAAAGCTTATACAGTACTTGACTAAACATCTATCTTTTACCTCTTAAGGGAGCTTCTTTATTGTACTGTAGCATACAATCTCCAACTTACCAATTGCAGCTTCCAGTTGAATGGTCTTTAAGGTCCATACAGCCAACTCATCGGCTAACTTCTGAGTTTTTGCAAGTATTTCTGTATCTAAAAGGTTTGCAACATTTTGAGTCAATGACATTCCAAGTCGCTTTATCTCTCCTTCTTTCCCATCATTTCCATATATCCTGCCACATGCTAACCAGAATCAGAATTCGGATATGGAGAAATGCAGGGAAGGACAGTTTTGCTTCTCAGTGTCTGAGACTGGCAGGGTGATCAAGTAGGCATAGCTCTCAAATGAATGTGTTCCCAAAGTGCATTTCTTCCGTTTTCACTATGGAATGTTTCTTCAATGATGGTAATGCCTGTCTTTCACCCCCAGATAGTGTGGCTTGCTCCCCATACATAGTATCCAGAAAAGATTGTAAGACTGCATAATATGTTTACTGCATATATTGTGTGGAAGTGAAAGGGATTTACCTTGACTTACAAATGCCATACTCTGTCATCTATCAGTGAATGTGTAAGCCTTGATTTGCCTCACAAGCAGGTGCTTGTTTTATTCTGGAATTGCCCATACAATATTCTTCATTTACATTTTTGATGTATAGTATTTCTTTCCTTTGGGGATTTGCAGAATTACTAGCTGATTTCTCAGGAGTCTCAGAGGAAAGCCAGAAATTCCAGTAAGCTCAGAACAAAGAGAACAAACATGGAAATACACACATAGTGGTTTTAATTCTGATTCTAAACTCTCTTCAGCAGGAGGGGCAAGGGAAAAAAATTACAAGTGGGTGCACAGATTATGGAACTCCGTACTGTATATCATTTTTACATTTAAAGAGTTCTTTGCTTTGAGGATACATATACATAAGCATATACTGCATGTGTTTATATATGAGAAGGCACAAGTACATATGGTTAAGATTAAGCGTGACAGACAGGTGTAGAATGTAGCTTATAGGCTATAAACAAAATTAAGATCCACTACTTATACATCCAATAACACTTGAAAGGATCACAAGGAGTGATCACCATAAAGAGACTCTTCTGTCCATCAGGGAATTGCTCCAAAAAATGAAATCCTAGAGATGGACTACAAAAGTCCAGCGGCTCCACAGATCAAGGTCCATAGGGACCCCAATTTGTCATGTGATTATCAGGAAACAGATTGCACGGATGGTTCCACAAACAGTTCAAACTGCAATCTATTTCTCCATGTGATCACACCCTAAGGTACATTTAATAAGTTATCTGCTGGATCAACAGGTTTCTTCATGCTGTCAGGGGCTTTGGCATCCACTAGCAGGGACCAAGGGCTTTGGCATCGCTAGCATTGTGAGTCTTGGTGCAAACCACAATCAGGAGGAGCTAGATGGGGGGATGGTGTCATCTGTTTGTACTTGGATGACTAAGTACAAACAGGTCCAGTGAAGGGGAAGTTGGTCAAGGGGTTGTGGTGCTGTCTGCTATAAATGAGGAATCCTGAAGCTAAGGAGGACCGCATTTCACTAGAACAGGTAGGTTTAAAGAGCATCAAGGCTCAATTACTATGTTGCCTATGCTATGTTGTTTAGTCATTAAGTCGTGTCCGACTCTTCGTGACCCCATGGACCAGAGCACGCCAGGCTCTCCTGTCTTCCACTGCCTCCTGGGGTTGGGTGAAGTTCATGTTGGTCGCTTTGGTGACACTGTCCAACCATCTCGTCCTCTGTCGTCCCAAGTAGGCATAATTAAATGAGTTCAGTTTAATCATAAAGGAAGAACTGGAGTGGAGATGAAAGTGATGGCCTTCCAGGAAGTCTCCTGGCAGAGTCTTTGGCAGAATCTCTTGTGATCCATGTCAAAAATCCCCCCTGTAGAGCATGTGTCGTTTTGTAAAAGCAACCTGCAAATATCCAATCCTCTCTAAGTGTGAACAGTGACCTTCAATGCTTTATCCTATTTTTCTCCTAACTCTTATCTTAAAATAAACACCTGGGCACAACTGAATCTTTCAGTCTTTGAGACAAAACTCCTTAGCAGGTCAAATAACAGCCTAGGGCTTATAAGTGGAAAGAAGAGCTGCAGCATGGCCTCCTCTCTCTCTAAGCCAATGATTCTGGCAAGCTATGAAGCTGTTCTGGAACCTTCTTCCTGACCCCTCTTCCTAAAAGAGGATCCACGGCCCTGCAAGGGCTTTGTCCTCGTTCCTCTACCCAAAACCATCCCTCGGCAATCCACATAAGAGATTTTATTCCTGGCAAGAGGCTCTGCAGAAAACAAACACACACAGAACTCTAGGTGGGTAGAAGATGTGGCCCTGAGCATATTCCTTACCGTTTTTGCCTTTCACTGATGGCTCCTTTGCGATTGTAAATGTCTTAATACGTTCAGCTGCACTATTTAGGATGGCTGTTTTGTTTGCTTCGTGATGATCTAAACATAGCCAGGAAGGGAAAAAAAGATGGTTATTTGTGGAAGTGGTGGGTTCCCCTGCTCCAATCAGGTGATGCTTAGAACCATTTTGAATCACGTAGCCCAATCCTTAGCCCCAGGGTTTGTTTTCAATGATATGGCATATTCTAAAAGGCGGATGGCAAGTTCTGTGTACTTCTGTGTGGACCGATGTTCTCTCCCAGCACCCACCGCAGACTGGACTCATTCCCTGGTTAACCCCGCCCCCCCAAAAAACAGCAATAACTGGAAATTCAGTTCTGATTATGGTGATTATCCATGCTTTGTTACATCTGGGTTGGATGTACACACTCTGTGAACCTGCTCTTGAAGAGCTGGTCCAATCCAGATTCCAATTTATGACCCCCCCAAGCCTTATACTACTTAGTCCTAGCCTATCTGAAGGATGTGGTGGTGCTGCGGGTTAAACTGCAGAAGCCTCTGTGTTGCAAGGTCATAAGACCAAATCCACGCGACGGAGAGAGTATGTCCCAGCTTCTGCCAACCTAGTCGTTTGAGAGCATGCAAATGCAAGCAGATAAATAAGGACCACACCGGGTCACGGCATTCTGTGTCTAGTCGTGCTGGCCATGTGACCATGGAAACTGTCTACGGACAAACGCTGGCTCTATGGCTGGGAGACGGGGATGAGCACCGCGCCCTAGAATCGGACATGCCTGGACTCAATGTCAAGGGGAACCTTTACCTTTATCTGAAGGATCACACTTCCCCAGGTACTAATTCTTCAAGAGAGGCACTTCTCTCAGTCCTGCCACCTTTCTTGGCATGTCTGTTCAGGACATGAGTGAGAGATTTTTTTGGTAGTTACTCTCAAACTGTTTGATTTCCTGTCTTCAGGGAAGCTTTGGGTGATAGATGAGCTGCAGGGAAAGGAATTGTTGGGGCAGGGAATGCTGCACCTCTTTAGAAAAAAAGGTATTTTCATGTTTTAAGCTGCTGCTAATTTAATGGGCCAAAGTATTATTAGTTTTCCCCACAGTCTAATGAAATCCACGTAAGTCTCAGCCGTGAACTGTCACAAGTTAAGTCAGAGGAGACATCTGCTATTGTGCACTGAGATGCGCAAATCAGTGTCCAACATCAAAAGCCTTGTATATTGTATTAAAAAAATAGAAAAACCTGCACACAGTATTCAGAGGGTCAAGTTCTTGTGCTTGCAGCAAGGTGGCTCTTTAGGTGTGTAGATATGCCCTACAGCTTTGGAACTAAGCACAAACAAACATCTTGCTTTGCATCCGGAAATGCATAAACATATGACAATGTCCCCCCATTCATCTGTGGCTCAAGAAAAGGTTTCCAGAAACAGAGGGGGAGGAATTACTGGAGGAGAAGCCAAGTTCCCTTTTTGGGGTCCAGCTTTAGCTGCTCTGAGGATATCCTGAAGGACAGCTGGGAGACCAGGGACAGTTCACAGAGGGAAGAGGCATCTACAATAACTGTTGCCTGGGACCATGGCTACACCCTCCTCCTCAGACAGAAATTTGTGGCAGCAGCAGCGATCACAGGAGGCATCTTCCTCCTAGAAGATGAAATCCACTTGAAAAAGCTGCTTAGCAAGACTCTGGTGGTGACTGAAAGAATTTTGTTTTGTGTTTAAAACAAAATTGGGAACCACACAGCACAAGGCAGAGTGCAGCCCACCTCAAGGCCCTGTCTGTGGACGTCTGAGTCAAAAAGAGAAGCGTTTCTTCTCTAAGAGTTCCCACCAGACAATTTTAAGGTTAAGAAACTGTTTCTACAAAAGTGGAGCTCAATGTCAGCCATTTCTCCTGTTTTTTGGTTTTCTGTTATTTTGTGTGTGTTGTGTGTGTGTTTGTGTGTGTGTGTGTGTGTGTGTGTGTGAGTGTGAGAGAGAGAGAGAGAGAGAGAGATGGGGATGCAGAAGTCTGTCCAGCTCAGGTGAAACCACTGCACCCTTTCATCCAGAATGTGAGAGCTTTTCCAGAAAGTGTTGCTGCTGTTTAAAAATAAGGACATTCTAATCCCTAAAATAAGGATTATTAGAAGAGAAGGAAACAGTTGCAAGACAAAATGAGGACTCAGCAAGTGGTTCTAAGACAATATATTGGCCTACAAGGTACTGTGGTATTCAGGGATAATTTTACAATGCCATAAGATTACATTGCACTGTGTCTAGAAGTTGACTCATGGCAACTGGACTTCTTTCTTGTTAAGCTGAAACTTATCCAAGTAGCTTTTTCCAGCTTTTTCCGTCAGTTGCCATCACTCAGCTTCCAGATAACCTCTCCTGGATGACTGGAAATCTTCACAGATATACTGTACTGTGTCCTTCTGTCAGTGTAACAGACGCTACTGGCAAATCAAATTTCCTTCCCACCTGTGCCCCCACCCCATCTATTGTGCAGTAAATTTGGGTTGATATGTTAGGGTCCTGGTGTATGTCTGTGGAAGGACACAAAACCCAGATTGTGTAAACGGATGTCTGCTTTCACAATGTTGGATTTTACCCATTGATTTCAACAGAAGAAATTTAATCACACCTCTGTCTTCTCAGTGGAATCAATGAGGAGTAAGATGAATTTGTAGAATATACCTTTGCTTTTGAAAAGATTTTTTCACACTCATCTAAAGACAGCCAAAATAATTCAGATTCTCATTTCTGAACTTACACAAAGCAGTCATCCCAGCTGCAGCAAAAAATAGTGCCAGGGACATCATTAATGCAAGATATATATAAATGTCCGGCGAAATCAACTCTTGTAAATGATACCAAAATGTTCCTTAAGAAGAAGAAGAAAGAAAAACTGTTTTAATCATCAAAAGCCAACAGCCCATTATTGTATAAATACATAATGCTTTAGTTGGTTGTTGTTGTTTTGCTATACTTGTTTATCCATGCAGTATTCAAAATAGAGAATATGAAATGTATCTTAAAAGAAAAACTGTTAACAAGTAAATCTATAAATTGTTTAGACATATGTTTAACAAATATACCTATCTTAAGAAACTGTGAAAGATGCAAGCAGCAGATTAACGTTAGTAATCTGTACTCAGAACCACCTCCCAACATTTTCAGTGGGCTTATTCCCAGGTAAATCTATACAGAGTTGCAGCCCAGGATATTCAAAGAATTAGATAACACATGCTACCTTTTCTTTAAAAAAATTAAAAACAAAGGTAGAGGCTTGGAAGCAAAAGATTATACTAAAAATTGCAGCAGTATCTATCCAATTTGCTGTAGTGACTTATGCCATGGCACTGAAGCCATCTGTAAATAAAAACTAAGGCTGCCCTGTATGGTTTCAAAACGATGATGATAAGAGTGATAATGGGGACATTTCAGTCACTCTCTCCTTTTCCCATTGTATGCAACGATAACTGATTTTCTTCTTTAATTTGTTCATTCAGGAGTTGTTATTGTTTTAATATTGGAAAATTAGAATATAAAGTTTAACTTTGACAACAGATTCAGCTTCACCATGGATGCTCATTTGTAATTTATGAATTCCATCCAAATGTTCCAAAATTCTGCCAGTATCTCACACTTTCCTAAATGCTTATAACTATCCAAATTATTACCCAAATGCTCTTTGGTTTTGGCTTAACCCCTTCCTGTTTATCTTTCGCCTCCTCGATCCTAAGTTGCACCTCTTCTGTGCAACAAACTTTTTGTAGGTGTGCCCTGTACATACTCTGCTGTCTGCTCGTTTCCCTTCTGGCTGCGAATGTTGATCTGGAGCCCGGATGGGATCTGGAGGCGACGTTGGATCTGGAGGCAACGTTGGATCTGGAAGCAACGTTGGATCTGGAGGCGACATTGGATCTGGAGGAGGCATTGGATCTAGAGGAGGCATAGGCTCTGGAACTCATTCCTGTAAAACGACATTCATAATAGACATTGCAACAGATACAAAAGAATACTCACCAAAACTTACAGCAATCTAAGTAAACTATGGACATAATTAAATAGGTACATCTGAAGATTTTTAAAAATGTGGGAACTTCTAGTAGCGGATGATTTGGTCAGTATGAACAAAGACATCCATACTATATACCTTCTCTCTGCCTCGCGTTCTTCCTGATGTTGCTCTGTCCTTCAACAGCTTCAACCACCCTTCCCTTTGATGCAGAACATTCCAGAACTTTTCCTATTCAGCTTCTGCTGCTCCCAATTGGCTGCCTGACATTCCCGAGCAGCGTTCCACCATATAGCATCAGTCCAGGCAAAGATCCTTTTAAGATTCATTTTATGGAGCTATTCTTGAAAACACATTTATGTTCATTTTAAAATTAAAGAGCTGCAACAGCAGACACAACAGCGAAGGGCCAACGAAGGAGGACTCAGCAGAAATGGCTTCCCTCTCAACCGTCTAGGGGCTTCCAGTCAGACGCATTTCACTCTTCAAGTCTAACATCTAGGGATGGCATGTTGAAATGTGATGACACACAGATCAACAGGCCTTGTGTTCTTATAAGGGGTGCCCTCTTGTGATGTCACACTGGAGGGGCTTTCCTTTTCCCACAGCAGTGCAGAATGACTCGCTGGCTTCCATGCAAGAAAGCGGCCCATGAGGGAGCGGACGTACCTGACCTTCTGCTCCTAAAACTCATCTACTAGTAAGGGTCATCGTGAAGACCGTTGCCCCTCACCCCTACTCCAGCTCTATTTCTTTGCCTTAACAGCACCTGGACACAAATAAATTCTGTAAAGCGGAATATGTTACATGCTTCATTTTAGTGAGCGGCAAACTCATCACTGAATGCATGTCTTCCCTTTTTGCATCTGATTAGAAGGGATGTGAAACACAGATCTCCCCTTTAGATCACAGTGTGCGTATGCATACCTATCAATTTTTAGAGGACAGAAACACCCGCCCCCAGCCTTCAGTGTATGAACTATCCATGGTTTAGCTGTTGGTGTGGTTGGGTCATCGGCTTGAAAAACAGCAAGGTTTTTCTTTTGTTTTGATACCTGTCAACTGCCTTGAGCTTTAGGAAATTGCTTATGAAGCAGTTTTCATAGGTAAAGCCTAATTTAACCCTTTCTGTTCTGTATCCTCTTATTATGCTACTTGCTATATTCAAGCAAGTCAGATTAAAAAAATAATTCTCATTGCTCGTTGCACCCTGATTCCAATATTAGAGATCGCTATCTGAGCTACACATGCTGTCCCATCCCGTCCCCAGTCACCCAATCCACACAGGTCTACTGGCATGTTATTAATCCTAGTATCAATAAAAAGGTTGAGAGCCTTTTCAGCCTTAAATCTGAGGACCAGGAGAAGATGCATGTTTTTCTGGGAGCCGCCCTGGGACGATGGTGTAGCATGCTTCCTCTACTTGCAGGAAGGCCAGTGGCAAATCAAACTCCGTAGCCAGGTATCCAAAGCACTGAGCTACCCAGCCAGAATTTTTAAGGTGATAAATAAATCAGCCTTAGTGCTGATTAATAAATTTCATGTATTTCCGGGATACAGCCATTGCCAAATCTGTTGTACTAAAACCAAGAAAGAATCCTGTGGTATGGTCAGGAGTAACACGTTGTATTTGGTGCAAGCTTTTAGGGATGGTGGGCCATTTCAATGGCCGCCTCAGTAAGCAGGCATCTACAGTCAAACAAGGAGAGGATATGAAATGCAACAAAAATGCAAAAATTGGCAACATGATGATGGTCTCACCAGTGGTTGCTCAAAGCAATTGGGCCCTAACGATCATCAGCCACCACTCATGGTCACCTAGTGTTGCCCCTTGTGTATACTGTAGCTGTCTCTCGACTGAGGCTACACTCCATACGTTGAAGAAATAGACTGTAATCTACAGAAGTACACACCTTGCAACTCTTATCTATGTTTTTAAAGGATTTTTTCTTTTCTTATTTATACTCTATGTGTTAGCATGGTACACTTAGGGTAATCAAATCTCCTGACAAGAGGCCAGCTGCAAGAGCTGTAGATTAATTTTGCAACCCTAGCCATCTGGAGGAGCATGAGCGACACCTCCAGCGGAAATACACTCTGTTCAAGGGTGTGTTCCATGGGGTTTCTGAGATTACACACCTCAAATCTGCTAAAAGAGCTCATTGCCATCTTTAGGACTCAGGATCAGTTTCACCCACCTCTTGGAACCCCAGTGCCAGGAACCAGCAGAGCCATGAGGCCCTCTCTGAACCTCTCCTCAGAGTCTTAAAGCATTCTTAAGTTATTTTTTATTGCTGTGCGTTGTCAAGTGGCTTCCAGTTTCGAAAAAAAATGCCATGGATGAGTGACCTCCCAAAAGTCCTGCTCCTGCTCAGGTCTTGCAAACTCAACCCTGTGGCTTCCTATAGGGAGTCCATCCATCTCCTGTTTCGTCTTCCTCTTTTCCCGCTGCCTTTATTTTTTTTCCCCAACAGAGAGTCCTCTCTTTTTTGTGTGACAAGCCCAAATTATGATTGCTTCAGTTCAGTCATTTTGGTCTCCTAGACTGAGCGCGTTTATTTATTTAGGTTCAGGCTTGATTTGATCCAGCACCCAGTTATTTGTCTTTCTGAGGGGGTCCAGCTCTCTCCTCTGACACCATATTTCAGATGAGACCGTTTATTTCCCTACCCGACTCTCAGCTTTCTTCTTGGTCCAGGCGTTTGTGTCTGTGCATAAGAATTGGGGATGCCAAAGATGATTTTCCCCTGAGGTCTCAGTATTTGAGTATTTACTATTTACATTGTATCTGTCCAAAGAAGAGGGAGGAAAAAAAACCCCTCTATTTTCACTGTTGTCTTTGGAAGCCTTTCTGGCCTTTTGGGGGCTTGAAGACTCAGAGAGGGGGAGAAAAGGAAGCAACCCTGAGAGAAAAGGACCTGCTCTTCCTGTTTTATAAATAGAAAAAAAAAGAGAGAGAAGAGAGATAGAAATATGTATTTAAAATCCTGAACTGGGAGACACCCTCTATGTCTCTGCCCAGCCGCCCCTCCCAAGCCCTTCTGTTTCTGAAGGGCAGCCGGCACAAAATTCTCCTCAGAAAGAAGCCATTTTGGGATTTTGTTTTTTTCTTTTTCCTCTCCTTCCGGGGGTGTGTGTGTGTGAGGGTGAAAGAAGGCCTAACAGTCACCACAGAAACAAAGCCTGGGTTCTCCCTCAGCTTGGGTGCCCCTCTTAGGGAAGAAGGCCAGGAGGGCGGCCATTTCCTCCTCCTCCTCGAGGGCGGCTGGGAGGACCACCATCCTCAAAATGGAGGACGCACCTCTCCCCCCTCAGGAAGGCCACTTTTCAGCCTTACGAAGGCACAGGCATTTTTTAAAGCTGATGTGCATCTACATCCTCATAGCCAGCAAGTATTAGTGCCGTTTTAGGCGGCTAAGAGGAGGCAGTTTGTTGTTGGGCCGAAGGCTGAGGCCAGTTCCGATCCTGAGAGAAAAAATGGGTCAGAAGTTGTGCAAAAAGAGACAAAATGGAGCCGTGGAGGGAGCTCCTGGAAAGGCCCCAATGCCTTGTGTATCCCAGAGCAGCAAAAGGAAATGGAGGGTCCTTGAGGCACTTCAGATAGGTTTGCCCTGCCTTGCCTCGTGTTCTGGGAACCCTCAAGGGTTTTTCAATGGGCATGGAGGGCCCTCCATGTTTGTGAGGAGGAACCCCCATGTCATTTTTGCAGGGGGAATTGCAGTAGCCGCCCCCCCCCCGCAGCAGGGGTGGTGTTTCTCCTGGGCTGTGTGTGTGTGATGTGGGGAAAAAATGCTCCTCAAGTCCCTCGTTGCCCCGAGAGGGGAAAAACAACAGAGGAAGCCATGACGGCTGCTGAGCCCCCTCTTTCCCCTGAGAGAGACCCCTCTTCTGGCAGCAGTAGGGCAGGGCCCCCCAAGCGGGGGAACTGCCTGGCCTGGATCTGGACCCAAGCCATCGTAAGGTCCAGCCACCTCAACCGTCGGGACCTGAGATGGACCGGCGGGCCCCTTGGGACGACCCAAGGCTGCCCCAGCACAATGAGGAAGCCATGGACGGGTGGGTCAAGATGAATCCCCAGTCTGTCTCTGGGTTCAGTTCGCAGGGCGGGTATTGACACATGTAAGCCTTAAATGGGTTTGAGTCTGGAAGGGATATCACCAGAGCTTGAAATAAGTTTATTCTGTTGGCAATGAAAAGGCTGCCAGTCCATCGATAGCTCAGGGACTTGAACTCATGAACTAGGTGACAATACTTCACAACACGTTGTGTCATTCATTGGAGTGTGGTGTTTCCTGCCACTTGGGGCACGTTTATTTGTTCCCCAGGCATTCCCTGATCACCCAGCTAAGCCAGCAACCCCTAGTGTTTTTAATGAAAACATTGGATTGTTTTCTGGTTTTATTCCTTTAGCTTATGGCATGTTGTTGTTGTTTAGACTTAGAGCAACCCCTAGTGTTTTTAATGAAAACATCGGATTGTTTTCTGATTTTATTCCTTTAGCTCAGGGGTCAGGGAACTTTTTTACCTTTTACCCCCCCCCAAAAAATTTATATACGTACATTGACATTACCCCCTTGATTTGAAAGTAAGGAAATCATACATTATTTGAATTCAAAATATTATTGAATCTACAAAGTAGATTGAACTAGCAGGTATATCATCAGTATCAATGGCTGCCAGGCTATGTACCGAACTATCAGGATGCACCAAATTTAATAAAGATGTGCACTATTTTTGCTGGAACACATTGCACTCCAGCCATGGGGTTGTATAGGGAGTAGTAAGGTGTCCAACGTGCCTAGCAAGTTGCATTAAATTTTTGTTAGCTCGCAGAGGATTTAATCATCATCAACGACTGCCAGAGTGGTGCTAGCAATGGGGGGGCGCTTTTCCTACCACTTTAATCATTCTGTGTGTGGTTTGCAAAACGAACAAACCAGGCTAAAGATACGTCACCCACCCTGGTGCCACAGCCCAACATCAAAGACCAGTGCACTATTTTTTTATCATCATCAATGGAAAACTCAGCAGTGGCCAGAGGACTGGAAAAGATCAGTCTACATCCCAATCCCAAGAAGGGCAGTGCCAAAGAATGCTCCAACTACTGTACAATTGCACTCATTTCACATACTAACAAGGTTATGCTCAAAATCCTACAAGGTAGGCTTTGCTCATTACCCCCAGGATTTTCATTTTTACCCTATTTGGGGTAATTTACCCCTGTTCTCAGACCACTGCTTTAGCTTATGGCACTATACTGCCCAATAGTCCTAAAGCACTCTCTGGGTGGTTTACAGCATAATTACGCAATGCAAACATCCTCTTGCCTCCCGTTGAGCTGGGTACCGATTTTACCAACCTCAGAAAGATGTAAGCCTGAGCCAGCCTTGAGCCAGCTACCCGAACCCCTTTGGCATTGAACTCAGGTTGTGAGCAGAGGCTGGACTGAAGTACTGCAGTTTAACCATTGCACCGGAGGGCTTCTGAAGCATATTGTGCTTTCAGTACTGTATACACATTTGCCAACGAATTTGGGATTTCAGAGGTAAGAAGTAGCATAGAAATGTTTCAATCCAGGAATTTTAGGGGTGAGACGTGGCATAGAAATGTTTGAATCAATCAATCAACCACTCTCAACTGGAGAGAGTGAGTAAACAGCTGGCCTTCAAGCACTCAACAAGGCTATTGTCTGTTTAATGTTCCTCTCGCACTCTGGTCTCTGGCAGTCCCACAGTCGTGTATGAATAGATATCATAGAATCCTAGAAAA